CTGTTGCCCCCCCCCCCCATCCCCTACCCCATTCTCCTCTCACCTTTCTCCCCATTCACCCAGTTGTTCATGTGTCTGCCCACTTGGTGAATTTGATGAACTTCAGCGTGAGCTACTCCAGTGACTTCCCTGCGCTTAACCTGGCTCGATACAGAGGAGAGGTGAGACCGACATTTTTTTTCAGTTTCATCGTGAGGTCTCTGAGTTCACAGAAATTCAACGCAAAGCAGAAAAAATATGATATTAAAAAGCAAAAACATGATTCCCTTTTTCCCTTTTTTTTTTTTTTTCCTCCCAGGATCCAAAGCTCATCATTCTGACTACAAGTAAGAAAAACACTGTATTCCTAACAATTTTCCCTTTAAAAATATCTTCAATTAATCCCAAACAAACCAAAGCAAAAAAAGAAGTTACATTTGAAATCAAACACAACTCAGTAATGCTCCATTTGTTTCTTATTATGTCTCTTTTTTTCAAATTCTTTTTTTTTTTAATGTAAATAAAATATATTTTACAGGCCAAAAAACAAAACAACCAAAATGTATGTGCTGTAACATACACCGCTAATACAGCGGGGCTTCAAGATTTTTCCCATTAGAAATAACCAAAAAAAAAGAAAAAAAACAAATAATTTCTTCCAGCCCCCCAGGAATATACTATTAATTAATTCAATTAAAATCCCCTCCCTTCTAAACATCAAAAACATAGATATAATAAATAAATATAATAAATAAATATATTGATAATACAAAATAATCATAATTAAGAAAACATTTTACATTATTGTTAAAAAATGGGTAAAACTCGATGCGAGAACTCGATGTTTCCTCGTATGACGAGGAAAACCTTGCCCACGTTGCTTACTCGTAACTTGGAAAACCCTATTTTAGGGAGCTCATATCTCGAAGTCCCATTCTGCCAAGGCGGGCCAAGTCTAGTACGCATTCGATATGATTTCGCGGGCCCAAATATAATAACACCGCGGACCAGATTTGGACCCCGGGCCTGAGTTTGACATGTGTCATCTCTAAATGTAATTATACTTTTTCTGCACACACAGATACTAGAGTTTATGTCCAAACAGCAGAGCAGCAGCCTCCCAGATGGTTTTGAGTGGATGTGTCCATTTTTTTATATTTTTGATTGTACATATATTTCCTGTTTCCTTACACTCTCTGCTCTGCTCTCTGATTGGTTCAGTTCCAGGAGTCACTGGCCTTCTCTTGGTTCTCATCCTGTCCCTGATGTTCATGTCCTCCTCCTACTGCGTACGGTACGTCAGACTAAACGACAACAACAACAATAATAATTGATCTGAATGTTTTTGTATATAGAGGTCATTCCTTTTATTGAAGTATATGCACGTACAGGTGACCAGAAAAGAAATCCCAGTACGTGTAATTCATGTATTTAAATCAATCATACAGACAGAATAGAAATACAGCAAGTGTCAAACTCAAGGCCCGGGGGCCCCAAATACGGGCCGTCCTGTAAGTTTGTATGGCCCGCGGGAGCTTAAATAGCATTTAATAAAGTCCATGCACCAGAGTTGATCAACCTATGAAATTACAAAGTTTTTTTTTTATTATTACACAGCAATGATCAATATTTGTAGCTTGAATAAATAATAATCAATTGCAGAAACATGTATTAGTCTGTTATGGAGGAGCTACATCTAAACCAGACTCTAGTCGGTTTGTATCAAAGTCTGAATGACTTTTATTTTAAAATATTGCCAGATTATCATCAAATAAAAAAAGTAAATGGAAAAAGTTTTTTTGAATGAAGTAAATTAGATTTTTTTTCATTTTTTCACTGTGTCCCACTGCGGGCTGGTACCAAAGGACCTATGGACTGGTACTGGTCCACGAACCAGGGGTTGGGGACCCCCTGATCTATACAGTGTTCCATTTAAAACCGGCCCTTCAACAGGATGATGTGGCCCCCGGTGAAAATGAGTTTGACACCCCTGACCTAAGTAGACTAAAATATTTGTACATATACGTATTTAAAAGTGCCTCAGATCTTCTCTGTCAGACTTGGGTTTCTCAAACCTTTTCACTTACCGTAATTTCCGGACTATTGAGAACTGAATATAAGCCACTGAATATAAGCCATACAGAACGATTTTTTCACTGTCAATTAAATAATTGTTTTTTTTTCCGAAAAGTCATTGATTGCTAGCGGTATGAACTTCGTTAGCCCGTAAAAAAAAATCCATAAATTAGCCGCATCGTTGTTTAAGCCGCAGGCTTCAAAGCATGTGGAAAAAAAAAATAGCGGTGTAGAGTCCAGACATTACGGTATTCTCGTTCTGCTTTTAATTCTAATTTATATCCCCTTCCACAAAAAGTGTTTTACTCTTAGCTCTGTCATCACCCAGGTCACCGTGGATCAACTGCTCTGTGAGTGTGTGTGTGAGTGTATGTGTGCGTGTGCCCTCTTTGCTTCTATCAGTAATTGAACAGAGGATAAGAGGCTTTTCCAGACCACTTAAGGTCTAGGATAAGAGTTCGAGCTAAGTGGCTCTACAGGGACAAAGCCAGCAGCAGGGCAGATGAATGCCTTCACAGCATTTATCTTCTTCATCACTTATCATGATTCATGATGAAGAACCTTAATGTGTCCAGGACAGAAACACAATATTAAACTACCTATAATCCTTAACATAATAATAATAATAATAATAATAATAATAACAACAACAACAATAATAATAATAACAACAACAACAATAATAATAATAATAATAATATATAATAACAGCAATTAATATTATTATTACTATCAGACTAAAGCAAATTAAAAAAACAAGCAAGCAAGACTTTATTTTCGATATTCAATATATTCAATTGAAGATTTGGTTCAGAAAAAATGTCCTCTTAAATTAATTATTGTATAAATACAAAATATTAAAATTAAACTCTTGCATTAAAATGGCGAGAGTGACTAAAGTGAGTATGAGAGCGCACGAGGCGTTTAAATGTGAACGTTTTGCTTTTCTCATCCGCGTCTTTGTCGCGTCCCTTCGTCGAAGCAGGACATTGGAGACCAAAGATGAAAGAAGTCGTAGTCACAGAGTAATGTGTGTCAGACGTGGCCTGTGTTTACAGAGGGGTCATTGTGCCTAATGACCCCTGAATACTGCTGTGCTCAGGCACGAGCTCTGACCTCCTTTTGTGTGTTTTTGTTTGTTTTTTTTTGCGTTCCCTCCTCTCACTGTGTTTTGCTCTTTCTTCTATTTCCTCGTCTCCTGCTCCTGTATTATCACGACTTGTTGATTTCCAGAGCTGATGGCTTAATCTGTGTTTTGAGTTTGCAATATAAAGCATACAAATCAAATTCAGTTTTAAGGCAGAAACCCTTCTTCTTGATTTTAAACAATAAAACAAATTAAAAAACAATGTGTAAAGAACAATTTACACATTGTTTTTTTTAAATCTATTTTGGGCTCTGTTGAAGCCAACGTAGCCAAACAACAACATTTAAAGTTTTATTTTTGAACTTAATGCTATTAGCAGTGTCAAGGGAAACAGTGTTCTACTGTAGCATAGAGTAGAACATAAAGTAGAACCAACAGGATGTTTTTATGAGATGAATCAAATTTACTGGTCTACAAATATATATAGAGAGTGTTAAACACCTCACTTTTCGAACAATTCGGTTCACGACCAAAACCAAAAATTGCCCTGATTGTTGTACCTTAACCCGCTTGCCGAACTAGCCAACAAGATCACGCGGGCAGCAAGTGATCACTGAGTGACTGAACATGCGGCGTCAGTCTTGCCTTATACATGCTAGGAACTGTTGTCTGATTTTGCTGGTATTTCTTGCATTGTTCTATTCTATTTTTATATTGCATAAATCACCATTTAAAAGAAAAATAGTGAGAACAGCAGTAGAAGTGAAAAAAGATTATACGGTGTATGATCTGAGTGTTTCAGATCTGGCTTTACGGTAAGTATCACCAAGCAAAGATCTCAGACATTAAAAGAAGTGGAAAAGTTGCTTCTGATTTGCATCAACAAAGCCTCCCTTTTCGGTTGGCGAACGGCCTTATAAGTTAAAAATTAAATAGAATTGTGAACTAAATATGAAACCCTAAACCAATATCTACTAAACATTAAATTCAAGTTTTTTTTTTGTTGTTTTTTTTTTTACCATATTTATACAATAGGGTCATGCTTTGGTGGCTAACTGGTAGATTTAAAAAAAAAAAAAAAATGACACCATGAAATCCTCTTCTTTGTCCAGGGTGTCCAACTACGAGATCTTCTGGTACACACACAACCTCTTCATTGTCTTCTACATCATCCTCATGGTGCACATGATCGGGTAGGTCTTTGTAGATACACTATATGACCAAAAGTATTGGCTCACCTGCCTTGACTCCTACTATGAACTGAAGTGCCATCCCATTCCTAACCCAGAGTTCAATATGATGTCGGTCCACCTTTTGCAGCTATTACAGCTTCAACTCTTCTGGGAAGACTGTCCACAAGGTTGAGGAGAGTGTTTATAGGAATTTTTGACCATTCTTCCAAAAGCGCATTGGTGAGGTCACACACTGATGTTGGTCGAGAAGGCCTGGCTCTCAGTCTCCGCTCTAATTCATCCCAAAGGTGTTCTATCGGGTTCAGGTCAGGACTCTGTGCAGGCCAGTCAAGTTCATCCACACCAGACTCTGTCATCCATGTCTTTATGGACCTTGCTTTGTGCACTGGTGCACAGTCATGTTGGAAGAGGAAGGGGCCCGCTCCAAACTGTTCCCACAAGGTTGGGAGCATGGAATTGTCCAAAATGTTTTGGTATCCTGAAGCATTCAAAGTTCCTTTCACTGGAACTAAGGGGCCAAGCCCAGCTCCTGAAAAACAACCCCACACCATAATTCCTCCTCCACCAAATTTCACAGTCTGAAATGTAGCGTTCTCCTGGCAACCTCCAAACCCAGACTCGAATTATGGTTATGGTCGACATGGATGACAGAGTCTGGTGTGGATGAACTTGACTTGAACGAGTCCTGACCTGAACCTGATAGAACACCTTTGGGATGAATTAGAGCTGATGGAGACTGAGAGCCAGGCCTTCTCCACCAACATCAGTGTGTGACCTCACCAATGCCCTTTTGGAAGAATGGTCAACAATTCATAGAAACACTCTCCTCAACCTTGTGGACAGTCTTCCCAGAAGAGTTGAAGCTGTAATAGCTGCAAAAGGTGGACCGACATCATATTGAACTCTGGGTTAGGAATGGGATGGCACTTCAGTTCATAGTAGGAGTCAAGGCAGGTGAGCCAATACTTTTGGTCATATAGTGTATGTGCCTGTTATCTGCTGCCGGAGCCGCAGAGTTTCTTTTCTGTAAAGTTTGTCCTTTTTTTAAACCACAAAGTGTGGAGGAGATGCCTGTTTATTTCCCATCGTCTGTTGTCAGCAAATATCACACACGTCCACAGACGTTGAAGGCTTCTTCAGCAATTCTCTTTGCAAAACATAAATGAATCATCTTGCGTCTGACTTTGATGCTTCATTATTAAACTTATAACGAAGTATAAAGGCAGCGTAGTTAAATGAACCGAACCCTAGATACGCTGCAAATTGTGCAGTTCTGAAAAATGCAGATTCAAATTTGTTTTTGTGTATCCGAAATGTGAGCTGCTGTAGTAACTTTTATAAAACCAGGCGTCAACATGAGTCTAACTTTTTTTTTTTTTTTTTTTTTTTAAACCTCCTTCAGTGGGGCACTGAAGTATCAGACCAACATTGAGGCCCACCCTCCAGGCTGCTTCAGGACCAATCAGAGCAACATGGAAGATCAGAGCGACGAACCTCATCAGAGGAGCTGCAGGGAGGAGGCGCACTTCCAACCCCACTGCCCCCAGGTCTGTGTGTGACTGCGTGTGTGTTCTATCATTAAAGCTGGGTGTGTAAGTGTTGTACACGTGTACGGGGTGTTTTGAGGAGGGGCAGGCGGGCAGGTGGGTTTTACGAGGAGGTGTTTAGGGTGGAGCAGACCTTGAGTCTACATCAAGGCCCACGGGTTTGTTTGTGTGATTATGTGTTTGCACATGGTTGTTAAGCAACAAACTGCATTCATAAACTCCCCCTCCCACACCCCCGGCCCCCCCTCCTCTCGTTCCTCTATTGTGTTTGTCGCAGCCTTAGTGGAGCTGTGAGCAATTAGTCTGAGATACAGAAACGCACCACACGCTGCGATGGAGAGATTTCCGCCCAGCCCTCATGAACGTCCCGCGCTGGTTTTGACGCTCCGCGTCGTCACATCTGCCAGTTGATTCACTGTGTCAGCGGTTACGGAATGTGATCTTAATTAACACAAGAGAAAAACGGTGAAGTTGTCGGGGGGTAAATCTGATGTCATCGTCGAACAACCGCAAACCTGTTAACACTTTGGACTTTGGAAAGCCTGTGTTTACTTGCTCTGTCAGGCTTGTTAGTGTGTCACTGTGCTCCAATAGGTGCTCTTTTACTTGTTGATACCGGGATTTTTTTTTTTTTTTTTTTTTTTTTTA